ATAAAAAATCTGAATATCATAAGAACCATTAAAAAAATTGAAAATGTAGTTTAAGTTTTGTCCAAAATATAAATTAGTTTCCAAAGTTTTTATAACTAAGTTTTACAAACATTAAAGGAATAGAAAATGCTCATGTTATATTATCTCTTCCAGAAAAACAAAGGAAGCTACTTCACTGTAAGGCATGCTTAATGACTCACAACCAAATCACCAACTTTCTATACACAGTCTTACCATCAATGAGCAAAAATTTCCATTCCATACTTACCCACAAACAGAGTTATCGTCTATATAATAAAGAGCTCATATGTAAATGGTTGTTGCACCCTCACACCCTCGCACCCTCGCGTCCTCACGCTGGAGCTGGGGGACCTGAGACCACACCCCCGCCCCAGCATCAGGACTGGGGGAACTGAAGCCAGGCTGGGGACCTGAGGCTGCGCCTCCTGCCCTGTGGAGCTTGACACGGGTGGGACCAGCTGAGTCTGGGTCTTGTGCAATTTCAAGGTGCATGCAGGTGGGCAGGGACTTGACTCTGGGTCCCTCAGCGTGCCCCAGACTCTGACAGGGAGGGAGATTTTCATATACATTTTCTAATTTTCTTTCATCTCTGACACTAAAGGGCAAATAGCAACATTAAAATATTTCCTCTAATTAATTCCCTTTTAATGTGCACGAATTTCATGCACCGGGCCACTAGTATTAGAATAATAGCCTATTATTATTGCTCAAGATGACCTTTCTGCCTGTGCCTCATGATAAGGGTCAATAGAATACAAGGCCCATATGCATCTTCTGGATAGGGCACCGCTCTGTGTGATGCAAAGCATTCTCCCCTCCACTTCCCATGCGGTGCCAAGGGATTGCATGTGTTGCACTTGCTCTCGCCTGGAAGTCCAGACTGCCTGTGTTAGTCTGCTAGGGCTGCGTTAACAAAGTGCTACCTATTGGGAGGCTAAAAGTCCAAGAAGTGTTTGGCTTCTTCTGAGTCCTCTCACCTTGGCTTATACATGGCTGTTTTCTCACTGTGTCTTCATACTGTCTTCCGCCTGTGTATATCTGTGTTCCAGTCTCTTCTTCTAATAAGGGCACCACTTATACTAGATTAGGACCACCCATATGACTTTACTTTAATTACCTCTTTAAAGGCCCTTTCTCCAAAGACAGTCACGTTCAGGTGTGCTATGGGGTTAGGACTTCAACATGCATCTGGGGGGATACGGTCAGCCCAAACATTGTTCTTTGTCAGGTACCTGTTACAGGTACCTCTGGGTATTCTGGAAGGCAGCATGGTGCTGGAGAAAGAACTTGGACTTTCAAGTTGGTTAGGCCAGGGTTCAAGTCCTGTCGGCAAGTCTACTCTTCAGCTGAATGGCCTTTAGAAAGTGACAGATCTCTCTGAACAGCTGCAAATAAGTGCTTCTGGAGTTGTGCAGGCGAAAAGGTTGTCCACCCAGGAACAGGTACAGGGTAGGAGTTTTGTATGTATCATATTTACAGGAAATGCACCTCAGATGACTTAAATTCCTAGTATCAGTCACTGCACACAGTCAGTGCTCAGTAAGTGCTTTTTGCGTGATTATAAAACCCTTAAAAAAAAAACTGCTTTTGAATTGTTTGTTGTCAAAAGAAATGAAATCCCATGTTTTTTTATTTTTCTGTTGTCATCCAGGATATAAAAATAATGACATCTGAGCCTCATCTCCCAAAATGTCCTTGGTCTTGGGTACTTTTAACACATTAATGAGCCTGGGGATTTCCATATTTCTGTTTCCCCCCAGGTGAAGTAATTTCCTCTGTGAGTGAGCTGCAGAGCTTACAGGTGGAGCCCTCTGCAGAGAAGGAGAAGCAGCGGTCAGAAGCCAAGCACATTCTCATGCAGAAGCAGCGAGCATTGGCAGACCTCTTTAAGCACCTTGCAAAAACCGGTAAGGTTCTCACTTGAAACCCAATGGAGTATAATCACCACTTTTAGGGAGAAAAACAGCATGGATGATTTGAAGGAACTTTCTAGAAACAGTGGAGACAGTGGGAATAGAAGGTGGCTGGCAAGGTTTTAAAATGCCATTCTAAGAGTTCCAGTCACACACATACAAAAATGGTGTGATGAACTGTGTGATTCCCAAATATTTTCAGTTTTGTAATGAGGTTTCTCAGAAATTACGTTTTTTATTTTCATCACCTTTTGTTGTACAGCACCCACCCTTCCAGCATCACTTAGAGAGCAGTGCTTCTCAAACTTCAGTGCTTGTATGAGTCACTCGGGGAATCTTAAGGTGCACAAGTAGATCTGTTTCGGCTGGTGTGGCGCAGCGCCTGGGCATCTGCTTTCCAGTAGGCTGCTTGGTCGATGCTGTTCCGAGGACTTGACTTTGAGCAGCAGTGGCATTGAGGGGCAGGAGCGGGGCAGGGCACATCCACTCTCTCCTCAGCATCTTCACTCAAACACATGCAACTTACTTCCTAGGTTTGTCGTATCGCAAAGGTCTTGCCTGGGCCCGTTCCAAAAACCCTCAAGAGATGCTTCATCTTCGCCCGTTGGATCTCCGGAGCGCCTTGTCTATAGTCAGCAGCACTCAGGAGGCAGATTCTAGGTTTGCTTGTTTAATTATAAATGGAGCCAGTCATGTAAGCCTCCATGACCTCATTTGCCAACGGGGATAACAATACCTCTCTTCTAGCATTGCTCTAAAGATAGCATTTAGACCAGTGCCTGGCTCAGGATCTGGCTCCTGGTGAGCATTCAGGAAGTGTTAATTTTCTCCCTTCTTTTTCCTTTCCCTTTTCTTGTATTTGCCTCTTCGATTATTTTTTGGTCCTTTGATTTTCCTGAGGTCTCTACTTCATTGGAATGTACAAGTGAACATCTGTGAGAGTATAGCCACAGTTTTGGCTCTTTCACAATTATAAACCTTTTATAAATTGTAATATATTCTTGAATTTGAGAGCCTAGAATCTTTGAGACAGAGCTGCCTCTTTTAACTGTGGCGAGGTTGTTGTAAATGCTGATTTGCATGAACTGGGTACTGCATACATTTGTGTTTAGTTTGCGTAGTAGCCTTCTTGGTGCTTTAAATTGTAGTTCAACACAACATTGTAAACAGTACAAATTTTCCATAAACATTCTGGATTTTCAGTTTTTAAGAGATTTTGACCAGGTGGGCTAGCTTTCCCATGTGGTCAGAAGTAGGCTCTCTCCCTTTGACAGAACACATGCTCTCCGTTCACAGTGCTCCCTAACAATCCCTGTTCTCCCAGGTGGAGGTCAGCTGTCATTACCATGTATCATTTTTGTGCTTGGCTTTCCTTAATCATGTGACATCTGCTTGGCCCTTGTAGGCATTGGGATTTATGACCTAGTCTCCACTGTCAAGATGATTACTAAGTTTCCGTTAAGGAAATCATATGGTCATCATAATTTATCTCCCCACTATACTTTCAGTGCTAAGTACATGATACATCCTTTGCATAAAGGACTCATGAGTGCCTCATAGAAATAAATCTATTCAGACTCTCAGCTTTTGGTTGTGGCTAAGTATATCCATCTCTGAATCGTTAGGATTTGGGGTGGGATAAGTGATTTTAATTAAGTAAATCACATTTTAATTTTTTTTTTCAGGCTGCTTACAGAAATCTCGTCTTCGTGGGATGGGTGCCAGAAGTATTTTTATCGCTCTCTCGCACGACACGCCAGACTTAGTGCAGCCCTAGCAGCTCCTGTCAAGGTTAGAGTGGTAGCCCCTCAAAATTGCCAGGGCCCAGGGAGCTCCAGCTCTGTCATCCCAGGGCAGAACATCATTAAACTTACAATACAAATCAGTGTAATTTTGTGCCTAATCAGAGAGCATCTAATAATAAATTTTGTTACATTTGCCAACAGGGCCAAATGCATAAGAAAAATTATTAAACATAAACTTCAAATTTGGAATACTACCTTCAGATCTTTTTCCTTTATGAACTGAGAAAAGACCACTAATACCCAATTTTGGTGTGAAACCTAGTTTCTATTCGTGGAATGTCAATGATCTGTGGGACCATAATTTGAGAAGCAGTGCTTAGAAAGATCCATGTGGCTCACGTCTCTAGAATGCAGCACACCCAAAGCTTATCGACTGCTCTTCCCCTGGGGTTGGCCAGCAGTACCCTCAGCACCTTTCCTTCTCCCCCTGCTAGGAAATGGGCGTGGGCAGCATTGAGCGGTGTAAGGGGTTCTCGGCACATTTGATGAAGATGCTTATCCGACAGCGGCGCTCCCTGACCACACTGACTGAGCAGTGGATCCTCCTCAGGTAACAGTGGGCCAGCTGGGTTTGTGGCCTGAATTAGCAAGAATTCTGTGGGTCAGCTCAGGGTTGCTGCATGTGCTGCCCTCAGTTGTGAAATGAAATCTGAGGCCTGAAAAGACAGGTAGGGTTTCTCCTGGCTTCTGATGATGTGCCCCTGCCCCCTGGTTCTGACAGTACTCAGGAGAAGGGGGCCTGGGAGATGAGTTCAGAGCTGAGCCAGACAGTAAATATGGCCTTGGTTGAACTGCACTGGGTCCGGAAAGGGCATCAGTGGCTGACAGTCTGTGCCGGCTGAGAGACAGGGTTGTGTTTATGGATAGGACCTCCTAGTATCAGCACAAATCATATCTGAGTCTGCTTCAGTTTGTTGGGCTTTTTGGATCACACAGTTTCAATGTGCTCAGCCATACATGGACTCTCCTCAATGGAAATAGATATTTAAAAGGTCAGGACAGTTGGGAAGTCTGTCATCATCTATTGAGTGTCGAGAGGCAGTATTTCCAGACTAATCACTTCAAGTTTAGATATTTGCTGCTCACTCATAGGGTTTATTGAGCAAACTGTATTACATTTACTAGATTTTTTAAAAAAAAAGTGGTTGAAAACACTGCATTGGGGTGACTTGCATGTGAGAGGGCTGTAAGGGGTCAGGTGATAAGCAGTAAGTTTTGATGCTTGTGAAAGACTGAAGGATGTGTCTAGGCGCTTTGGAAGGCATTTGAATAGACTTCTTACCTATTGGAGGGATCCTCCACTCCCCCACCCCTTTTTTTTTAATGGGAAAAGCCCATACTTGCTTTAGAAAGAATGAATTTACTGTTAAAAAACAACATGGTGACAGAGTTTAAGGTGCCTTATGTTTTCCCCATGGTTTTCTCTGCACAGAAACCTCCTCAGCTGTGTGCAGGAGATTCAGGGCAGGCTGACAGGGCCACTGCTCTACCCCGTGGCCTTCCCGCCTCAGGACGGTGTGCAGCAGTGGACAGAGAGGCTGCAGCACTTAGCCATGCAGAGCCAGATCCTGCTTGAGCAGCTCTCCTGGCTCCTCCAGTGCTGCCCTGATGCAGCGTCAGCTCCAAGCCAAGGTGATGCCCGGGCACAGGGTCAGTCTTCTACCCTCTGCCCAGAAGGACCAGAGCTCACCACGGGGCAGCTTTCCAGAGCAGTGCTGGACTTCAGCCCATCAGATCTGAGCTATCCATCCCCAGTACCTGGCAATCAGCTGCCCTCCGGTTGCCGGATGCGGAAACAGGACAAGCTTTGGCAGCAGTCAACTTCGAGATTAACTGAGATGCTGAAGACCATTCAAACGGTGAAAGCTGACGTTGACAGAATTAGGCAGCAGTCTTGTGAGACTCTCTTTCATTCTTGGTGAGTGTGCTTATGCCTCTGCACTTCCTCTGTGTGCTTGGGTATTTTCTCAGAGTTTAATGATGGGTAAAATTATGCAAGGGCGTAAGTCCTCCGTTTTTCAGTGGACAGGCATAGTGCTTTGTGGCATATGTGTAGCAGTTTCACATACAACGAGTTTTGCTCTGCTTCCATTTTAGTTCTTGGAGGGAGGACTGTGTGTGTGTGTGTGGGCAGGGAGGCGCAGTGCATACCCCATTCCTTTCAACATTGTGGCATTTCTGTTGTTGCAGGAAAGATTTTGAAGTTTGCTCTTCTGGGCTGAGTTGCCTGTCCCAGGTGTCAGCTCATTTGCAAGGCCTAGAGTCCTTGTTCATTCTTCCAGGGATGGAGGTTGAGCAAACAGACCAACAAATGGCATTAGTTGAGAGTCTGGAATATGTCAGAGGAGAAATCGGTAAAGCCACAGATGACTTTACTACCTGGAAGACACATCTTCTCACGTCAGGCAGCCAAGGAGGTAAGGACTGTTATTCAGTAAGGGAGGAAAAGCCCAGCATAGGAATGATGTCTTATAGACAAAGTCTAGATTATACTAAAGACACATACTGTTTCATTCTAAACATATCTGTCCAGAGTTCTAAGGCAGACAGGTGTGGTTGGACCCACAGCTCTTATTTTCCTACATTCGTTCGTGTCCCTTGCCTTTGGATTGCCGTCATGTCACTCTCTTTGTAGCACACGTGTATGGAGACACCACAGGCTCCCTCAGCTGTTACAGACAGTTCTCCCTTACACCAGAAAGCTGAGGGTGGCATTTGACTAAGTGTCTATACACACCATCTAAACTTATTTTCTTTTTTTTTTTTAAACATATTTTATTGATTTTTTACAGAGAGGAAGGGAGAGAGATAGAGAGTTAGAAACATCGATGAGAGAGAAACTTCATATTTTTTACATTATTTTAGCAAAATTGTTTATAAGACGATATCCTTGTAGCTTTATTTAGGTAGGGGCTGTGTCTCATCTTTGTATCCAGCATAGCTTGGCACAGTGGCTGATCCATAGTAGGTGCTTACAGGTGGTCATTTTTTAAAATAACAAGTGAACAGTGCCAATGGTTTCCTGACACAAGTGATCGGGTTGTTTGTTTGTTTGTACCATTTACTTAATAGGAAACCAACTATTGGATGAAGGGTTTGTGGAAGATTTTGCAGAGAAAATGGAAACTGCTATCCGGTCCATCCTTTATGCCATCCAGAACTTAGCAGAAAGAAATAGTAAAAAGGCAGATGAGAACACTGACCAGATAAGGCCACAGAAAGAGGATGGTATGTCTAAAATCAGGCAAACATTAGTTTCATATTTGATTTAATTTTTCAATTTGATGATTTATCTTTGTGACTGAATATTTAAGGACAGATATTTGAAATAAATGACTGGATGAATGGGGATGAAAAGGGTTTATCTTCAGTTATTCATAATGTCATTCTTTTCAGCAGGCTTTGAGAAACTACAATCAGGACATCTAACAAAACTCTTAGAGGAAGACTTGTGGGCTGACGTGAGCACTTTGCATGTGCAGAAAATAATTTCTGCTATCTCTGAGCTGTTGGAGAGACTGAAATCATGTGAGGACGGCACAGCAGCAAAGCATACGGTAATCACTGTTCTTTATAAGCTTCTTGCTGTCGGGAGTTGGCTGAGCAAAGGCAGAGGGGGTTTCACCTCGCCATGTGGGTGGTCCTAAAGCAGGCCTCTGTGGCAAAATCACTAGGAATTTGCTTTCTTTATAGATGTAAACACCATTGATAAACTTTGAAAAGCTTAGGGCTTGTTAGCTAAGAGTTACAGTTGTAAGATGCCTAGATACAAAAATGCTAGCAATCCAGAATATCCATTATCTTGGTATTTTATATCCTAACCACATTCTCCTGAGTATTCGATGTTCAGTTTGCTGCCATTAACTAAAGTTTAGTGGCCACACTCTGCAAATACCATTCCTTTCCCAATAAGCCAGCAGAGGAAGCTATCAAATTCATTAAGTCCTGAGAGGCAACTTACCGTATTTGCCGGCGTATAAGACGACTGGGCGTATAAGACGACCCCCTAACATTTCCACTCAAAATACAGAGTTTGTTATATACTCGCCGTATAAGACTGCCCCCTCTTCCGCACACCTTCCACACACCAAATAAAAGGTAAAACAATATCAGATTTGATTTTAACATTTTAATTTATATTCAAATGCTTATGACATGCAGGAAACCTGTCACAAGGCTGTATGTAATCAAACATATACATAAAACAGTGCAAGTTTATTACTGGTAAACATACCGGTAATTCACTAAAGAAAACACACTCTATAGACTGGTACCGTAGATGCCTCTCAGGAACACAGGCAAGCAGCCCACAACCTAGAGGGACTGTCAATGATAGAAGTAAGATAACAAATAGAGGGAGAGAGCAAGTGCCGGGCAAGTCCCTAGCAAGTTTGCTGGCGTGACAGTTTCACCTTAAAAGCCTTCAAACTCCTCTTCATCATCTGATATTAAAAGTTCATCAACGACATCTTGGTGCCATGATAGGGATGATAGGGGTTTGACTGGTCGACATTTTCTATGCTGTACTGTACAATGGGGCAGTATTGTGGTTGGCTGTTGGCTGTATACAAAGCCTGATTTGATTGGTCCCTGCTCCCTGTTTGCCCGCCCTGTCACTATAGCAGTCTGGTCCACCCTTGCATCAGCAGCTCCCTGGGACCTCACTAGTGCGCAAGTGCGAGCTCTTCAACATTCTAACAGGCACCATGATAGCGCAAGATCGCGAATCTTCAATGCATATGTAAAGAAATAAACGGTAACCCGAATTTACCACACTCGCAAAATCGCATAACAGCCGAGCATACACCCAGCAGCGCTGCTGATGCCTGAATGGTATGTGGAATGAAGTGGGCGGGCATCGGGAGGCCACTATGGCACGGGGCAAGCACTATGGGCAGTCTATCTGAAGTGTGCCTGGCGTATAAGACGACCCCCCACTTGGAGGCATATTTTTCAGGGCCAAAAAATCGTCTTATACGCCGGCAAATACGGTACTTTGTAGGACACTGTATGTCATTCTATGTTATTGCCTCCAGTGCCAACTTTGATTCCCAATGGAATTTGTTTATAAACATTTCATTTACAAAAACAAACAACTTTGTTAACTAAATGAGATTTAAGTGACTGAGAATTTAAAGTGTACGTTGTGTGAACAAGGAAGAAATCCCAGTGAGCAGGCGTGTGTGCATGTTAAAAATACATAACCCCTACCACTAGTGACATTTAGTACCTTAAATTCAGTGTTGTTACAACCTATGTCATTATATAGTTCCAGAACATTTTCATTACCATTTTGATCACCCCAAGGGAAACCCAGTACCCCTTTAGCAGTGTGACCAGGCCTTCTGATCTGCTTTGCCCCCAGTTCTTCAGCCAGTCCTGCTGCTGGTTGGTGCGCCTGCTGCCCATGCTCTCCAGGTACTCAGACCTCGTCCTCTTCTTCCTGACCATGTCTTTGGCAACTCATCGTAGCACTGCAAAGCTGCTCTCTGTGCTTACCCAGGTCTTTACGGAGCTTGCTCAGAAGGTAAGGACTACTCACGTGGAGCACTGTGGGCAGCTGGAACATTCTGTACCATTAGTGTTTGGTTTAATGGGCTTTTATTTTGGACCTTCACACATTTGCTCTCCCTGTGGATTATTTATGCAAGGCTTTGTCTGGCACCCTTTTAATAAGCCTATTTCAGCTGTAGTCTTGGAACCTACAGACACCTCACTGATGAGCTCCCTCGACTCCAGAGGCTGTCTGATGGCTGCAGCTTTTCACAGCCTTCTCTCATGTTTGAAGTCGTCTTCAATGAACTCCCAGCTAGATTTCTAGGATAGATGAATCTGTAAGGCTAAGTTGTCTTTAAA